TATATCGCACCATTTTTTTAAAATTCGTGTTAACAATTAACTCTGGTCGTAGTCGACATCGAGCTGATTTATAGTCTGTATTTTAAAAGATAAGTTGGCGCGTTCCTGATGATTCTAATTAGTGAAATACGATCGCGAATTCGTTTCGCCAGAAACAATCCGAATCTAACGACTAAAAAGTTTATTAAATTATTGACGAAGCATGTAGATAAATAATAATTTATTGCGTTCTATTACAGAAAGGTATTATCTGAACCACACGTAAATGGAAATAACAAAAACCTCCGCCATGAAGACTGCAATGAATTTCATGAGCAACATTTTAGAAAGAGTGGCTACCCAAAGCTATAACTCGTAGACCTATTATAAAATAACAATGATTATGAGTTTAACTCACAAAAAGGACCTTACTATAAAAAAAGGTTTTCAAAAATAAAACCGTCCAGCTTAGGAGCTAAGTAAAAGTATAAGTGACAGTAAAACATTGTAGCGTTGTATGGTTTCGTAGTTAAACATACATAACATACAAAAACAACACGTACTATCTACTGAATACAAATATGTATTAATAATATTAATAATACATATTTGTATTCAGTGGATTATTAGAATTCGAACTTGTAGAACATTTTTTATGTTAGATGGTGACACTGGTGAACCCATCGGATGTAAAATAATACCCGTCGCACATGGACATTTGCAACACTTATAGGGTTGCAAATGTGTTGCCACCTTTTAACAAAGTGGGCCCCAGCTACATCACTCACCAGATGAAACGCAGTATGACACTTCCAATTCAGGCCATTGAGGTCGTGGTACTTACTCAGACGGACCTGCCCATTCGTGCAACAGACGTAGCTGTTGCGTGAACCTACCACTTTCAAATCCTTTTGTTTCATATGTAATAGCCACCGTACAACGCCAGCAATTGATGCATTACAGTTTTATGCTAATACAGTTTTTGGAATTCGTTTAATTAAAACGTTGGTTGTTTGTTGGATAGCTAGATAGACAACGCCGGGTTCAGATATTAATATTGATAAAGAATATTTATAATTTTTAATATATAATTTAATACATAATTTTAATTATTTTATTTTTAATACATAATTTTTATAATGATAAAGAATATTTCGCAGATGTGTGAATTTAATATGTTATGAAAATCCGCGTTGGGGTGGTGGAATACGCACTTATGTCATCTGTACAAAGGCCTTTGCCCAGCAGTAGAGCATAATATAGGCCCTTTTTAACCTTTACCTTACTTTATGACAATTGATCGTGATGAGTGAGTACTGACTACCTAATCTTTTGAACAATCTTTGAACGACTCGTCGCGTGATTGGCGAGCACAGCTTAAAGAAAATAAAGTAATATTTGTAACTGATGAATTATTTGAGAGAAAATTAAATAAATTCGCGGCTGCCTGTCGATTCCCATGGAACCCAGTTTAGAATACACTGCCTAAACTATCATGGGAAAAATGTAATAGGAAACATAGGATGTGTTCCTTAAGTATATACTTAATTAAAATAACATGAAGTCGAAGCCGCTAGTACCATCTGGTAACATATATCACATGAACTTAATGGCTACTGCGACGGAAGTTGAATCATTTATTAAAAACCGGTGGGTACAACGTCGTCATTGACGGATGCCCCAATGGCGCGTGAGCGACGAGCCTGCCTCAGTTCGAGGTCCCGGGTTGTAGCTCATACGAAACTTGAGACGCGACGCTTATACTGCCCCCGTGGTCATTAAGGATTAGTTTGAACGGCCTATAAATAATAACAGCTGAGCTAAGTAGCGGTTACACTACTTAGCTAACGAGTCCAGCGGGTACTCTGATTCGTGAGCAACATCGCGATGTTTTTGAGCCGACTTCAAAAAAGGAGGACGGTCTCAATTCGCCTGCGTTTTATTAATGTTTATTACCTCGATTGAGCGAACGGCTTCTGATAATTATTTTTTATTTGAAAGTTGGTGCTTCCTATGTCGTTAGACAAGAGTCAACTGTCTAAGAATTAAAACTTGAAAGGATTAAGTGATATCTATCAAATCGATTTTCCGTGATGCACAACGGCCGACCTATATCATACTTAAGGCCCATTTACACGATGCCATTTTCTTGAACATACAAGAGCAATAATTGAATGCAATAAATTGCGCGCAATAATTGTTTAGACCATTTGTTGTTTAGACCATGCAACTCATTTATTGCTTCAATTTAATTGTATACAACAGGCAAGAAACTGGCATCATGTAAATGGGCCTTTATAATACATAGACAACTCCTAGATAGAGCGAGTCTACTGTTCGGTGAATAATATGTAAGACGCAAATGCACGCAAATGCACACTTAATTGCTATCAGTTTAATTGGAGATACGCCACTCTGGGCGTCGTCGGTTCGCGCTAAATCGCGCGTTAAGTCGAACGGGGTTTATCGAGTGAGATACGTGCGCGTTAAACTGTTACGCTGCGTAGGTTGACGACGATTCGGTTTGCAAAAGGGATTCATTTAGGTCCATGGCTGGCGGTCGGTGGCGGATTAAGCAAGCGCGGTACCCGTAGCAAATTCTTTCAGCACTCTTACTTATGTAATAAGTTTCACTCAAAAAATTAAGGCTCAGGCAGCGATGAGTGGATTTAAATACGCGGGGCCCCCTTTGGCGCGGGGCCCGTAGCAATTGCTACTCTTGCTACGTGGTTAATCCGACCCTGGTGGCGGTACCATCAGGTAGTTTGCCTTGTTCTATTATCACAAAAAATCCAGACCATAAAACAATAATAGTTGAGACGTATTCGTCTGGCCGAATTCTCGTTTTTCATATAGTAATATATAGTCCGAGCGTTGTTGTCCTACGGTGGTAGGGCCACGCAGCAGTCTCGGCTGTTGCACGAATGGGCAGGCCCGTCCGGGTAAGTACCACGACCTCACAGAAGACCGGCGTAAAGTGGAAGTATGACAAATACTTTCGCGTTTCGTCTGGTGAGTGAGGTAGCCGGAGCCCAATTTTCAAAAGGTTGTCAACGCATCTGTAACCCTCGAGTGTAGCAGATGTCCATGGGCGGCGGTATTCACTTAACATCAGGTGAACCGTCTGCTCGTTTGACAACTTTCGCATAAAAAAAAAAAAAAAAAAAAGCATTCAGCTGTCAGTCAGCTGACGCCTTTCAAGTTCCGTAATTTTTGATGCTAAAATGTGCCCAAGGAAATTTGTGCTTTATTGCTAGGAGCGCACGGATAGAGTGGACGTTCCTTGGGTCGTCTTACCACAGATGATAAATATAATAGTATTTTTTTTTTAATTCAAAATCTTGGATATCAATGTAACTAATGTGTCGAACTCTCAACTGCTACAACTCCCAGACTCTAGTAAAAACATTTTTATATTGGATCACTTTCCTTCTGCCCTTACCCACCAAGGTAAGCTCGGTAAAACACGTGGATCGTATTGCTTATTGCATTAGCCAAGTTTTTTATGACAGCTCGAATGCCTGACATCAACCCTCGTTGGGATTTAATACCCAGAGAGTGTGGGCCACACAGATACACAAATACTTGTCCCGTGTTGGAATCGAACCCATGAACACCAATATCGGCGCTAATAGCTTAGCCACTGCCCAACCGGACTTATATATTCTACATATGCTTATAGTAATTATAATTTAATACTATTTAGGTCCGTCTTGGATGAGGCTAACGGGAAATATGAAAGCATCTGAAACCTGACAATTTGTGTTTGATTTAACGCGTACCAATTAACAATCCGTTTCCGTAACTGAACGGTTATAGGAAACAGAACGTTTTATTTATTTATAAGTAAACGATACAATTTCTTACTTTTGCTGTATAATTATATTTTCATTATTTATAACATTACTCTCACAATTGAATAGTACAAAAGGTGGCCTTAATGACATTATTTATTTATTTATTTATTTTTAAACTTCATGCACGAAACAGTACATAGGCGGACTTAATGCTGACAGCATTTTCTACCAGTCAACCTTAGGGTGGTACTGAGAAGTTGAGGTAGGTGCACACAGTTATAAACTAAAAAGAAAAAAAAAATACATAGGTAATTATTAAATATAAAAATATAACACATAATATAATTCAGCATACAATACTTTTAAACGATACAATAAGTATTACCTTACATATACATATAAACTTTAATATACATATGTAAATAAATATATATATTATATACATATACATATACATACACATTTATGTGATGATGTCATGAAACTGCTGGCAATTTCCCCTGAATGTACTTGCGTGCCATTTTCTTAAAAGCAAAGCGATTCTTGGCCATTCTAATTTTGAAAGGGAGCTCATTCCAAAGAAGGATAGATTGGACAAAGAAAGAGGAATGGATAAAATCAGATTGATGAGGAGGGCATAACACAAGACAATTGTGTTTAGAGCGAAGATTCTTCGTGTTGACTGTGCTAAGGTATTGGAAGTGAGGAGATAAATATGAAGGAGTAAATGGGGAATTAAGGTAAGAAAAAAGTGTGGTCAGGGCTCTTAGGCAGCGTCGTTGTCGAATGGTTAGCCAATTTAGTTGTGACCGATACGACGATACATGGTCATATTTGCGGAGATTGAAGACGAATCAAATGCAGTTATTCAGAAGTCGGTCTAATTTGTTGAGTTGATCTGCATTCAGGTCAAAGTAGCACACGTCACCATAGTCGATTAAAGGAAAAATTAAGGCCTGTACGAGCGTTACTTTAGTTTTTATCGGCAGGAAATTTTTAAGTCTGTAAAGACGGCGCAGGACACTAGTTACTCTTTGGCTATTTATCAGTTAACCTGCGTTGTGTTGCGATATTTGAGCAGGTGCAGTGACTTAAAAAACCTTAAAAACAAATTAACTATAATTAAAAGTAAATAATATCACCAAAAACCTTATTCATACAAACATAAATACACTTCATACATACAAATATTCATACATATGTATATTATATATAACAAAAAACCGATATCATCAACATTTGAGAGTCCACTGCTGAACATAGACCAGAGGCTGCTACGAAGCCCAAATATCCAATAACGGGCAGCTGCGTTATAGGTGCGAGGTGTCTGACACCGGGTCGGTAGAAATGGACGAGGCGCCCCGTCAGCCCTGTAGTCTCGGGCTCGGCTACGGTAGCGGTCATGGTTACGGCAGGACAGGGGCTGCTAAGAATATCCGGCTACGTCCAACGCAACCCGACAACATTAAATATTTACTAATTTTTGTTCGCAGACACCGTATTGAAAGAATATAGCCTATGTCACGCACATAGCTGCGACGAGTCAAATGACACTTCATATGATGAAATATGTCTAGAAATTTGGGCTGTAGAGAGTGCCTAGAATAAGGCATTACCCTTCCCTAGAATAAGGCATTACCCTTCTTCGGTAGTCGGATAAAAACGTGATTAGACGTGGGCGTGAAGCATGCAGGTGACACAGTTATTAAGTGATAAAGGCGTTCACGGATATCAGCCACCCGTGCGGATGGACGAACCAACTACGTCTCCAAGCATAAGAAGCCGCGCTCCGGTTACTTAACTCCTGCGAAATGTAGAGTTATAAATACTTCCGCTTCACCCTAGTCTTCCGAAGACGGGTATGTACTGGCATATTCGCGCATAAAATCCGCCATTTACCACACCTCCAGCAAAAGGTAAGGAAGGTATTAAAACCTTACACAGCGTAAACCAGTAGCGAATGAGCGGAGTCAGGTTACTCACCGACTACCACGTACAGAGGCATCGCTTGAATTAACGTCGTAAGAGCTGTGATCGATGGTAAGCCACGCCTTTATGGCCATTATGTCCAGCGTTTCATGTTTCAAACATTTAAAGGCACTTTGTTACAAAGATGGATCATACATGAGACGTTCGTTGATCGCTGTTAGATATTCGAATTTTAAATAACAATTTTTTTTGATTATTATTATTTTAAATAACAATTTGACACATTTTTATGGTCACGGAGTAAAATTTGCGTGTTTTTCCTTTATAGCCATCATAGAGAATAAACAAAAAAGCCATATAACTCTAGAAATGGGTAGTGAGGCTCCAGAATTGGGTATATTTAAATTTTGAAAACTGTCTTTTGATTCCTTATTTAAATCTCACATTATCCATCATGTCCATCATGAACTGATCATAATGAGATACGAGAAAAGGCTTTAATATTCAATAATCATAGAAAATTCGAATTGTGCTAGTTGCGTCTCCGACAAACTAATCTGATCCCGTCAAAAACATCATGGTTCGCGTCTGCGTGGTTTGGTTATGTTTTTAATATGTAGGTGTAAGCTGTTATTTATAACACGTTTGCGCAGGAGTTGATGGGAAATCCAACGCGATCATGGTAACACTACCACCGTTACGTGGCACAGTTCAGGGGCGCGCATTGGCACTCCATAGTCCATTATCACCGCACTAAACGTCCCCAGCCACGGGCCAGCCCACCGCTTTCCAATAAAATGAGACGCAATTTATTACGGTACGATTGCGAGTTCCGCGAATCGATGCATCCTGCTCTATGGCGTTGTCGCGGGAGCGTGAAACTTTCCCGCGTAAATCTGACAATAGTCGAGTGGCGGACTTTCGATTTTATTTTATCTGTGCCAGGTGTTGCGACAACTTGTTGCTGCTTTTAGATTAAGCGTAAGTGTGACATGTTCGAAGATTCCTTTGCAGTTTTAGAATTGGAATGGGATTAAGTTTTATCACTTACAGACGCACCAGAGGTACCTACTGTATAAGAGTTATGACCACTTACAGTAGAAAAGTATTATGAACACCTACGAAGCCTGCTAATTAGAAATCGGATCTTGTTTTCTTTAGTGACACATACGTGTGCCTTTTTAATGGTCTTTCTGACGGTTACAGCCGTTACCTGAGATACTAATAATTTAAAAAGGAGATAGACAGGTATTTATCATTTGTATATTCACTAACATAGTTAATGTATCGACCGATATACTGTAATTTATAATATGACTTTTATTGAGTTTATCATATACAAAAAATAAAAGAATAAAGAATAAAGTTCTTACAGTTTCTCTTTCTTAAAGACGATTAAGGTCAATGTCCCGAGTATCATCGTATATTTAACAAATTGCACTTCTTTGTTCTAGGTAATAATTTTTTTTTATGGAGAAAAGGGGCAAACGAGCAGGAGGCTGCACCTGATGGTAAGTGATTACCGCCGCCCATGAACACCTGCAACACCCGAGGGCTCACAAATGCGTTGCCGGCCTTTTAAGAAAGAGTATGCTCTCTTTTTGAAGGTTCCCAGGTCGTAACGGTTCGGAAAGACCGCCGGCGGCAGTTGGTTCCACAGAGTGGTTGTGCGAGGCAAGAAATGCCTTGAAAATCGCGCTGTTGTGGAACGCTGGACATCGAGGTGGTGTGGATGAAATTTTTGGTTCTGGCGTGATGTCCGATGGTGGATTTCAGCCGCCAGGATCAATCCAAACAATTCCTCGGAACACTCCCCGTGATAAATGCGGTAGAAGATGCAGAGTGATCCAACATCTCTACGCAGAGCCAAAGGATTAAGCCGATCGGAAAAACTTTGATCGTCGATAACCCTAGCCGCCCTACGTTGAATACGGTCAAATGGAAGAAGCTGGTAATAGGGGGCTCCCGCCCAGGGGTGAGAACAGTGCTCCATGTGGGGCCGAATTTGCGCCTTATAGAGGTTTAGGCGTTGAGCTGCCGTGAAGTACAATAAACAATTTTACATAATAAATATATATAATTATAAATAATAATAAATATACATAATTATAAATTTACGTAATAAATATCTAAACAAATTTACATAATTATAATTATGCATATTTGTATAGATATTTCTTTGTTTATATAAAAATATACATATTAAATATTCATAAAATCATTATCTTCATCAGTTCATTATAAAACTAGGCAAACATAAACATCTAGAAGATATTCTTAGATATTTGAAACCATTTGTTTCTTTACCATTATTGTGTCATTGGCGATATCATAAGGACTGCCAACTGCCTTAGAAGAAGAAGAAGAACATGTAGTACATCGCTTAACTTAAATTTGGAATAAGTTCGGGTCGCGGAAGCGGCTGATACGTGGCCGGTGGGAAGAGGCTTCAGTAAATCACGCCGAGCGGGTCATTAGCCGCCGCGTCTGCGGGTGCCTAATACGATACAAATATTTGTAAAATGGATGCGCTCGAAACTGTCCCTTATAGATTTATGAGACGAATCCTCGAGCGCAGGGCCGCATTTGATGAGAAAGTGAACTCAGTGCAGTCTGTTTTATCTGTATGGTGCATATTAAAATTTGTAGAAAAAATTGACGAAAAGATATTCGATGCTGTGGGAATCGATCCACGTCTTCCGGACACGCGTCCAGCCCCTTTAAACAATAAGGTAAACAACGGCTGACTGCCATATCGACGACAATCTCAAAATATTTTAATTACTTTGTTTTTTAACATTTTAGGAATACGTACTTGGCGCATCTATTGGTATATCTCTTATATATTTTGTATAGTCCATAGATAGAAAAAGAGATGAGGTAAAGACACTTCTTTAGCTGTGGTGGTGAAATTTGGAATCCGGAATTTTGGAGTGATAACTCCAAAAATGTAGATGCCACTGCTTATTTTTGTATCTGCCGTCAGAGGTTAAGATATTAGAGTATAAAGGATCTTCCCAGTAAAGAAAACATTGTTTAAAACAGTCGTTCTATTATTAGTTCACCATAAGTTCTATTTATTATTATAACCCTTAGCAGGTTTTCATAAAATAACACAGTTTGTTTGTGTATGTTATGAGATTACTCTCAGAAATGTCCAAACCCGGATTATCTGATGAAAAAAGCTCTAAAATTTTAATCGAATGTTATAATACATTTTTTTTATTGTATCTTAGATTTGAAAATTAAATTGTTAATTGTTACTTAGAATAAGGAATTCGATAGTTTCTAAATGCGGTCCTGCGTGTTTACGGCATTTTCAACATGCGAGTCTCCCGGGCAGCGTAAGCCCCCTAACAACTTAGTTTATGTTAATACATCCAATATCACACCCACTGGCTTGACACACGTCGCCGTCGCCATTTTGAAAATTTAAATAATTCCCGCCAAGTTTCGCCGCGTGTAAATTATTGTTTCGATTTGAAAACCGGCTGGTAAATGCTTTTATCTGAGTGTTTCTTCTTTATTGTTTTGTTAATGTTTAATTAAAGATTTATTTCGATTGAAAAATCTAAAATATTCATAAATTTTGAATTCTTGGCTTTAATATTTTACTATTCGCTCTTTAACTTCTAAACTCTATTATAATTATAAAATCGAAAGAATATTTATTAGTACAACAGACAGGGCATTACATTATCTATTGCATCAAGTTATTTAATATACTTTAATTCTTATACATCTACGACAATAGCCTTGCTTTTTGGGTCCTACAATATTACGTTTGTATATTTAAGATTTCGTTTGAAAAGAGCGTAGCAAGTCTCAAGAACAACGCCTCTCAGTCATAATAAATAAGTGAGTCATAATAATTTACTACTCTCATAACGATTTCGAAAAGTAGACTACTGCTACATTGTGATAAAAAACAAGAGTTTATAAAAATTAGTTAGGACTTATAATTCATACAAACACTTGTATAGCAGTGATACACTACCAGCAAGAGCGTTAATAAATAATAGCAGATTAGTGGCTGAAAAATCGAAATGCAACCGCGTTGACTAGATGCGGTCTAAAGATCTAGAAATATTCAAATTTTTCAAATATCTTAACTGCACAGATCTTATATCATATAACGACAGGTTTTTTTTTATTTTAAAAGAGTTGTCGAGCGAGCAGGCGGTTTACCCGATGTTAAGTGAATGCCGTCGCCCATGGACATCTATAACACCTTAGGGTTTGCAGATTAGTTGACAACCTTAAAAGTGGTGAGAGCCCCGGTTACCTCACTCACCAGACGTGGTACCTTTTTTTATGTGAAAAGTTGGCAAACGAGTAGACGGTTCACCTGATGGTAAGTGAATACCGCCGCCCATGGACATCTGCTACACCCGAGGGTTACAGATGCGTTGACAACCTTTTGAAAATTGGGCTCCGGGTACCTCACTCACCAGACGAAACGCGAAAGTATTTGT